CACACACACACACACACACACACACACACACACACACGTGTCTTTCTATCTATGTGAGGACCACACACAGCATTCACAGTCTCGCTCTACGCCATCTTTTTTCCCCAAGTTTGGCGAGAGGCATATATGGAGGGGCACAAAAAAGGCTCTCGACTTGATCTAGCCTTATATTAATAAAAATTATTACATGCCGTGAAATTTTTGGAGGGACGGGCTGTTTCGTTAGTGGGGGGCTCCCCTTCAAAAATGGCAGAGGAAACGCTGAGTGACTAAAGACGGCAGCAGAGTGATCACAGATACACAAATACAAAGAGCTAAAACAAAAACATTCAAAAGTTGTGGTTTTTAACTATCATTATAGCTTTAATTTAGGTCTTTAAACCTGTCGCAGTTCAAATGAAATAAGGTGGCGCTACTGAGACCCTGACTTATACCTGTCTCAGCTCTCATTAAATCCTATGTGCAAAGAAATTGCTTCTCAGGAGGAAAATGGCTGAAGTCATTCTGAGATAATCTCTCTGCTTGTGCTAAAAAGCTTGGTTTTAGAAGATATAGAGATGCTGATTGTAGTGGAGTCAGTCTGTTAATGCTTATCCTGGCCTCTGCGCCCTGAGCTGTCAGATCTGCTCAGATTTAATATCTCACTGCTCTAATGAGAGAGTCTCAAAGAAAAAAAAAGTAAAGCTCATTAACAATGGATTCTAAAGAACTGCCACAAACGCTTTCAGAACTGCACTGTATAAACCAAATTTAATTTAAAAAAGTGATACTGGGAGTACCAGAAACTCAAAACAAGCATCAATAGCAACATTAAACTAAGGTGTTTGGCAGAGAAGATTTGGTATATTTTTCATATGCACAACCCACATATTCAGCTCTGCTTATCATTCCGCAAATGCATGTTCCTTACAAATGTGGCACAATTTACATGGGAAATTAACAGGTTTTCCAAATGGTAAAAGATTTATTACCAAGAATGCATTATTACAACAAAGAAATAATCTAGCGAACCCAAATTTCTTTACTTTTTGTGCTTGTGTTTTATAATAAACTAGGCTTAGTACTACGCAAAACATGTCTTATTACTGTGCATTTAATACTGAAACATAACTTAAAAAAATAGAAAAAGTCTAACCAAAAAAATTTACGACCCTCCTGCTGTACCTCCAGGGACCCACTAGGTGTTGAGACCCTCTCGATGAAGACCTTTATCCCTGAGTATTAAAACAACTATGCAACTAATTGTAATTATTACGGCTGCCACAAATGATTATTTTTATAGTCGACTAATCACCGATTATTTTTTTTGATTAGTCGACTAATCGGATCATATATTAATTGAATATAAAACATACAGCTTACCATGCCAGAATGCAGCTGCTATTATACTATATATCCATTGTTAGATTTTAGCTATATGCTAACTAAAAATAATTGCTGTGGACCACCCAAAAACACCATATAAGGCTACGTTTTCTGCCCCACATACTGTACCAGGAAGTGTCCATTCATAAATAACATCACAAAGTAAAAAGAAGAACTTTATGAGTTCGGAGATTAAAGTCCTGCTCTCAGAGATCCAGAAAAGAAAATCTCTAAATTTTAGCAGCGTCAGCTGTGGAATTAAAGGACCTGCTAAAGCCAAGGAATGAA